TTCTCAGTTGATAACTACAGCATTTGGGTTTTTTTTCCCCCATGAAGGCTTACCAGAGTCATTTATAAAGGCACTTGTTATACTGTCTAGCCCGGAGTTGACTGAAGTGCTTACAAGCCTTTTTATCTATACCCTTTGCTATTCACAGATTTCTCCATCATCCCAGAAGGTAAGTTTAGTTACAAACCACACAATCAATGTCTCTTCTACTCAGATGAAAACAGTTTTATTCTTTATGCTCAAAACCAAAATTCATTAACTTCAACTAGCAAAAATTCTTTGGTTTGCAGGACACTGTTATAACAGCACAATTGAAACTTAACAGACAGCCCTCATTCTTGCTTCCTAAAAACACCCTAACTACTGAGAACTCAAAAGCTGCAAAGATGAAGATTTGAGCAGCAACAACAACAAAAGAACCACCAAACAAAATTTCTGTACGATTACTGCCCTGTAAGCCACCTGATGGAAGCCCCTCCAACTTTGCTCATGTTAGACATTTTCAGCTCTTCTAAATACAAAAAACTTTAAGGTGAAACTTAAATACATTTTGAAAAGTTTTATCTTAATACCTTTTTCAAACAGAATAGATCTTCTATACTAACTCATGTATTAACATGCCTCTATGCAGCCATTTACACTCTGCACCTCTGGGTTTTCATGCAGTAATAAGTCTGCTTCTCCATAATTCCAAGGGACTTTACCAGTCCTTTCAAGTCACATCAGTGCACTTTTTAATAAGAAAAAAAGAAATACTTGTCTATACATCTTCAGCTCAAACCATATCACTTCTGTCAGTTTTCATGGTCATCTCTGATCTCCAATTTACGTACAAGACAGAAAGACACTTCCTACAACCCCTCCATTTTCTTCATTGAAAAGTAACCACTTTGCTTGGCACTCAACTCTACATTTTATGTTTTATGTTTAATCCTGTTGCAAAGAACGTGACAGATCTAACAAAGTGCTCTTGTCTTTTCAACTTCAAATAATGAAATACAGATACCAAATAGGTAACGGAAAGCAAGTTGCCTCAATTTCTTCAAATTCAAATGAAGGGATTCCTCATTTAAATTCAAGACACACAATCTTTATGTTTTCATACTACCACCTCACTTGCAGTTCAGCTGCTTTTTTCACATTCCAATTGCAACTTATTTCCACAACAACTCAGAGTGAGTTTACATTCACATAACCAAAGTGAAAACTGGAAACGTACACATTTCAAGTGATGTGAACCTAGCTGCTGTTCAACATCCTAACAAAACATTTTCCAAATAATGAAACTCTGTTCTTTAGGCTACTTGAATTCTACTTGAGGCTCAGTCTTACAAAAGGACAGGAGGAAAGCCAACAACCCTGCTGGCAGTTCAACTGACCAATTTAACTAGCCTAAGATTAGAACTGATTGTTTAGGCAGGTTTTTGTTGTTTGTTTGGGTTGGGATTTTTTCCCCCACTGGAATACATTGTAACGTTTTTACTCATTTTCTCTTTTAAGTAACAGCTAGGGCTTTGCTGACATTCTCTGCAAGTGACAGGAAAAAGGAAGCATTTGTCATTGTAAATACTGTAAAGAGAAAACTTTTGTCTGCTCCCACGTACACCAAATGAAGTTTTTTGCTTGTTCATTGATTGCTCTATCCATTGTGTTTCACTGAAAAAAAAAAAAAATCTGTGCCTCCTGTTCAAACAATGGGAAGCACCGGAGATCTCTTAACAGACCTTTTCCTTGTAAGAGTGGATCATGTACAGAGGCAGACTTTGAAGAGCTCTTCCCAATATCAAACACCCATGAGAGATGCCAGAACATTTTCCAGCAGATGTCACAGCCCAGGCTGAACGAGATAACCTCCACATGTGAATACGGAAATGAGAATGCCAGCTGCTAAATATGCTCTAAGAGGTTTTTGATAAGCATTTGACATGTCCTTCTACTGCTTTAAGATTTTTGGTCCTGTAAGACTAAGCTCAGTGCAACTTCCTGTTATGAAAAGTTATCAGTACCAGAAGTCATCCCTGCACCACTTACAAGCCTATCAACTCTGTGTCATCCTTCTACCCACACATAAATGTGGAAGCTGACTATTAATACAGCTGGCAGGGTCTTCTAAAACTGCAAGGTTATTACACATGCACCCATTTGTAACTATACTAGGCAGACTGTATGTCTACTATTGTAATCCATCATTTTGCTTTCAACGGGATTTTTTCTCGAGAACAACAAAGCTCACCCCTTCTTCCACGATGAAACCCACCAACACCAGCATCTTGACTCGAGAAGGAGTTTCGCACTCATTACTGTCACGTGAAACAGGTTGCTGAGGGAGCATCAGGCTCTTCGGAAAGGATGCAACCCCCTGTTTGGACCGTCTGTCCAAGCAAATGCAGCTCCGAATCCTGTTCCAGGGATGCCTGCTGCAAATCACACCTCCTCCTCCACCCTCATTAAATCAAACACATCCAAACACAAGCACCAACCACAAGCAGCACTGATTATGCCATTTCCCACTTCCCTCACGGACTTGCCTTAAAAACCCAATTAACACAGCTTTTATCGTTATTAGCAGCACTGCTATCGTTTCCAATTATTTTTTCCTACACACTGTATCGGCAATTCCCCCCACCCCCCCCATCTTTCTAGCGGTGAGTCTGCATTTTCCTTGCTCGCCGCTCCTTTTTAGGCATCCGAAAGCAGCAAGTGCCCAGCCCTGCCCTGCCGCCCCGCCCGGGAGCGATGGCCGGGGGTGCCCGGGGGAGCGCGGAGCCACGAGCGGAGCGAGGGCGAGAGGGAGGAGCCGCCGCCGCACGGGGGGAGGGCAGCCGGCACCGGAGGAAGGACCAGTCGCCGCCGTCGCCCCGGCTGCCGGCGGTTCGTACGTCCCGGGCAGCCCTGCCTCCCCTCCGTCCCGGCCGCCATTCCCTAGGGGACAATGTCTCTGTGACGGGGACAGCCGCCCTCCCCGCCTGGTTGCGTGCCGAGAGTAAACACCGAGGGAGAAGGCGGCCTCCATATTTTTATCCCGGCAGCCTGTCAACAGGCTCCCCCCCCTTCCCCTCCAGAGCCTCCGCACTGAGACCGGCTTACCAGCCCGGCAGCGCCCAAGAGCCGCTGCCGCCCGGCCCCCGCTGCTGCCCCTCCTCAGCTGAGGCAGGGACACCCCTGATAGTGGGGCTTCGGATTTTGTCTTTTTCTTTCCCTTCTCGCTACGAACAGCCGCTTTCAGCGCTCCCCTCTCCCACCCCGGCCCTCGGCAGCCACCCAGCAGCACGGTACCGGCGGAGGGCGACCGGGGCGTGTTGCCTTTTATAGCGGTGTCATCCCCTCATCCCTGCACGCCCGCCTCCCGGGGGGCCCGGCCAGCGCGGCCCGCAGCCATGCGGCGCGCCGCTCCCCTGCCCCGCTCAGCCTTCCCGACCTCCGGCATCGAGGGCCGCCCGCGTCCCGCTGCGGGACGTTATCGGGGACACCACGTTTGCCTTGCACCAGGTGGTTAAGCTCGGCCCCGGTAACGCGCCCGTTATCGGGCAGGCATGGAAAGGAAAGTCGCACCTGTCACCGGAGGCACCGTCTCGGGGCAGCAGCACGCACCCGCCCCGCCGGGCCACACCAGGCCGCCCACCGCACCCATTTTCACGCATCGCTTCTGCCGACAAGGGTGGCGTCCAGCCAGCAGACGAAGCCCCGCTGCCTCCGGCATGGGAGGAGGGGTCAAGGCTTTTCCCCACTCCCCGTTGCCACCCGGACAGGCCGCCCTGCGCGGGCCGAGCCCCGCACCGCCACCTCCCCGAGGAAGCGCGGCGGCGCCCAGCACGCACAGGCACTGCCGAAGGGAAGCCTTCCCCACGGCCACCTGACAAAGCCGGCTGCCCTCGCCCCTTCTCCCAGCGCCGAGACGAGCACGTTGCTCCCTCCACCTTTCTCGCCACCTCCAGCCGCTGTCGCTTCCACACACACACACAGCCACCCACCCCCCCATCCCCCCCAGCTCCTTGGTGAGGGACGGGGCCGCACTCACCGGATCGGAAGAACGCCGCGATGTCCGCCGAGTCCTTGGCTGCCTCCTCGGCCCCTTCCCCCGCGCCGCTGCCGGCCGTGGTGGCGGCGGAGGTGGCGGTAGCGGCGCTGCTCATGGCTGCTGCGTGTGGCGGCGGCTCCTCCGGGCGAGACCCACCGCCAACCCCACCGCCCCCTCCGCGGATCCCGGCTTCACCTCCGGGCGAGAGCGGCCGTTAGGGCGGCAGCCGGAGCGTGCGAGCGATGCGGGACGGCGGCGGGCGGCCACGGCGAGCGCAGGGACATGAAGGTATGTGCGGAATGGCAGCTCCGGGAGCGCCCACCCCCCGCAGCCACCTAGGAGGCGGCGTGTGCATGCAGGGAGTCAGGGCGGGCGGGCGGGCGGCAGCCGGAGCGCAGACAATCGCGGGAGGAGGAGGGCGACGACGACGACGACGGCATGGGAAGGGCCAGCAGTCCGCACAGGCAGCACCCGATGGGCGGAGAAAGAAGGATCCGTTCCAGCCTCTTTTTTTCCCTATTTTTTTTTTTTTTCCCGAGGGAGCAAGGAGCGAGCCGGAGGAGCAGCAGCTGCGCTAGCCGCCGTGCTGCCGGTGGCCGCAGCTACCGCCGTCCTCCATCTTGGCTGGGAGGCGGAGGAGGAGGAGGAGGGTGGGAAGGGGGAGCCGGGAAAGGAAACGAGTCCCCGCCCGAGGAACAAGGGCGGCGGGGCGAGGGGGGCGGGAATCGGGAATCTCCGGCTGCGTCCGGCGCCGGTCGGGATGGGGCGGGGCTGCACGGCGCAGGACGTCAGCGCTCCCGCCGAGCCCCCACCCCATTGGCTGGGGCGCGGCCGCCGGGAGAGCCCGGCGGGCCCTCGGTGTGGGAGGTGCAGGGGAGCCCGGATGCCGGTGGTCCGTATGGCTATGCATTTATGCTTTTTATCTGTTTATTTTCAGCCGCTTCCGACTGACTTCCGCCTTGACACGCTGCTGCAGCGCTGCTGCAGCCCTGCTGCCGCTGCTTGCCGGTGCGCGGAGGTCGACCCTGGGGGTTGTCTGAAAAACCCGGTCCGCGCCCCACGCTGTTGCCTCCCGCTGCTCGGTGCGAGGTCACCGCGGCCGGATCGGCGGCTCTCCGGGGGGGTCGTGCCCGCTGAGAGCTCCACTGCCCATGGCCTGGAATGAGGGGCCCTTGCGGCTTGAAGGGAAAATAAGCGAGGTGCGCAAATGTTTAGGAAAGGTGCCTTTGAAAGGCATTGAAGCGAGGGTGGTGAGGCACAGGTGCAGGTTGCCCAGAGGCGCTGTGGCTGCCCCGTTCCTGCCGTGTTCAAGGCCAGGTTGGATGGGGGTTGGAGCAACCTGGTCTAGAGGAAGGTGTCCTTCCCCGTGATAGCAGGGTTGGAACTAGATGATCCCTAAGGTCCTTTCCAAACCCAAACCCTTCTATGATGCTGTAATTGCGATCAGTACTGTTGCTGTATTTTCTTCAGTAATCACAGGGACACTTAAAAACATGTGCTGTGGACCAGTGCCATTAATGTAAAATACGCAAACAGCTCACGGTGGAAAATGCAATCTGGTGCTTGGTTAAGGTGCATCTCAGTACAGTCATGCTTTTCATGTTTAACTGTCAGAATAAGATTGCATGCAGGTATGTTTGAAAAGAGAGTAGCAAAGCAGTCAATTTAGCAGTTGCACAGTTTGATAAAGCAGAGTAGCACATCTCAAATGCCGGTGGTAAATGGTCAAAGACATTGCTTGTTGTCACAGTTGAAATACAGAAGTATAGTTTTAGGAATTAAATTATTAAACCTTTCATAAGTGTTAAAAGCAAAGGTAACTTCAAGACAAATGTCATTCTGTTCATTTATCACAGTCAGATGATGTGGAAGTCATCCACAAGGTTCCTAAGGTTTGTATTTATCTGAAGTTGTACAGCTTGACAAAGAAGCTTTTGTGCTACTACCTCTGCCTAATTTCTCTTGTAGAGAAGAGATTAGTTTTAAAAAAAATTTTTTAATGTTTTTCTTCCAGGCAGTGAACACAGGGAAAAGTTCCAAATTAGCACCCCACTGACAGAAGTGGCTGCAATGTGACTTCCTTTCTAGCTGGCCTAGCACCATCCACCTAGCAAAAAAACATGACTGGGACAAATGCTGCTGTTCACTAGCAAGCAGTGAGTTGACCTGAGAGTAGGAATAGGGTATTGTACACCTGCACAGAAAAAGCTGTATAAGAATGTAAGAAAATTGAATGAGTGAATGGGAAGAGTTAATACAGTGAGTAAAGAAAAATAGGCCTCCTGGAATCTCCATAATTTGAACTTTCAGTGCCTCGAAAGCAAGAGGTGCTCAAGATTTTTTGTTTTCTGAATCTGAATTAAGACTTCAGTATGCTGTGCAACATTGGAAAAAAGCTTCAGAAGACTGTTCATTAGCTATTGAAACTAAGATACTGAACGTCTGTTTCCAATTAGTTGTCCATTCAGCATACTGTTCAATTAGTCAGTGGGTGCTAAAAAGCCAAATGTTCATATAAGCAATACTGAAGGTTATGTGACTGAAGTTTGTCCCTTCCCCTGTTCCCTTCATCTGCTGAATTGTAGATGCTGGTTTTGTATTATTCTAACACATGGATGCCCTGAGGCATGCCCTCCACCATGAGAGCTGCTCGTAACAGTGAAAGGGATTGAGATCAACTAGTTGCAATTTGGAATTCTTCACTTGCAGCAAAGGTGGCCCTTACAGAGAGGCCTCGGGCAGCCAAATATGCCCATATCCTTTGCAGCATTCAGACGCATTATTGCAATATGATTGTGTTCACACTAATGTTCAGGATGTAAGTTAAAAGAGAGAGACAGAAATAGAAAAATGACGTTATAACAGAGTTACTTAACACACTGTAATAAAACAAGGCTTTCATTTGCAGGTATCCACCTTAGATATCAAATACGAGATTTAATATTTTGACATTAGGTAATTATGTTTCTTAGTCTTGTTCTTCTTGATCATTTTAGGCTTGAAGCTTAAAAAAAACCAACCAAGATATGAATTATCTATGTAGGGAATGTTGCACATTGAAAAGTTGCGTGAGTGCGTGAGTTTACCTACTTTGAAGCCTGTCATTAGGGATTAGCCATATTCTCCATCCTCAACTCCTACTTTGCCTGTGTCATTTTTTGTCAGCCTGCAAGTGATTTTACAGTAATTGCATTGGTAAGTGCAGGAAAGGAAAAAGTATGATTTTTCATGTAAAAGAGATTTTAAGGGTGCTGTGACTTGCTAACTATCACTAGTGTTAAGGCCAAGATTCAAATGATGATTTTTAAAACCTAAAGATGCATGAAATCATGCTTAATTTCTGTATCTACTTTTTACACATGTATAAAAGCATTTAATTTTACGTAAGCGAATTGTTCAAAAAGATTTATACCCCAGTAAAATAAATGCCATGAGGGAAGTGTTGTTTTATTTGAATGACCTTTATTTTTCCTTGTATTGTGTATTATTCCTGTTAAATGGTCACTCTGAATCAGTGTCTCAATGCACAAATATCTTTATTCCTGTCATAAAAGGTCTCTTTTGAGGAAAGAAGTTTGCCTACTGTCTAACCTTCAGTATCTAGGCTGAGAAGTGTCACATGTCACTTCATGTTTCATCCCTAAACGAATACACAGTCTGGATACTGCTTGAGTTCTTTTCCTGCAGCATTCACCGTCCACTTAACAAAGAAAACAATAACCAGTTTGCCCCTTTTGTATGGGGCAACTGCTTGATTTAAAATCACTGATATTTACAAGCTTTCAGGAGAAGTAAACTAGGAACGCATTAGTTTGAACCAGACAGGAGATCATACTGGCCTTGGTGGTCAGTCTGAGTTGTCTCCTTGCTCAGAACCAAAAAAGGCTTACATGATTATAAAAAAAAAACCCAAACAAACAAAAATAAAAAAACCACCCCAAAGAACACAAAACGCACCTAACATTCAGGTTTTTACAATGGAGTTATCTTCTCCATTGTTGACAAGCTTTACTGTAAATTTCACAAACCGAAACACAGGACATGCAACAGAGTGCGTTCAAGACTTTCATGTCAAAAATGCTTGAAGGGAAGATGCACGTGGATTTCTCTTTACACTATAAGAACTGCTTCTTACAAACATTATCTTCCTGCAGCAGGCTTTCATGGGGTTCCAAATCTGTAAAACATGACAGAAGCATTTGCAGTAAGTAGTAGAGAAGGCCATACCAGTTGCTACTGTGCTTTTAAGATGACAAAGCTTCTTTTAAGTTTGTAGCAGTTAAGGAAAGTAATCAAAGTTATTAATGTGTACTACCTCCAAGTTGCTGTCTGTTTTCTGATCTAAATGGTGCTTTTGTTATAGCAACATTTGTCAATTTCAAATTATTCTCCACACGCAAGATACATCTCTTTTATCTGCAGACTAGCACCAAGGCATTTTCCAACTGTTATCATTATTATCTCCCTCTTTCCTGCAGAAGCATCCATGTCTTTTTGAAAAGTTGTCTTGAGCTGCGCTAAGCCTACGTGCTCCACTTCCTTATGCTGTAAAATCAAGTTCTAGTTTCAGTGCATGAGTTCTGGCAGCTTTTGGAACTTCTGCCTTTGACCCTTCTTTTTGTTTTTGTTTCTACTTTTCTGAAAAACAGTAGAAGTTTTTAATATCTGATAGCAGATGAGCCACCTGTCACGTATGTAAAATATTGCCAGCCTACTTAAAAATAATTTTTGCATACTTTCACTGGTAAGACCTTCCACATCGTTCTATTTCTTTATGAACTTAGAGCAGTACTGCCATCAGGACGTGACATTTCACAGATCCTCAGCACCTGCGAGGAGAGGTTTAGTGCACTTAAGTAAAAGCCTGTAAAGAGACGGCATTTGATGGTCACTATGGCTGAAATTTTACTGTTTATATGGTCATGAGTGTCAAGTCTTAAGCAAAGAATCAAGCAGGTTTTTAATAACCTACAAACCAACTTGTGTGTTTTCATATATCACCAAAAATGTTAACCATCCTAATTTTATTTATAGCCAAACCACATTTTTTTTTAATTTCTCACCATTTCAATGATGTGATATCTCTATAAAAATCCAGCTCCCAGTTCTGCTACATGGCATGTACTGACTTGTCAATGTCAGGGACACTTCTGTTATGTGTAGAAATTACACCAGCCGTCTGATGTTTTATAGACTATTGGCGGTCTATACACCATCTGTTGACTAACCTCAGTCTAATGAAGTGTTGGCTTTTCTTTTTACACTTAAACACTCATAATGCTACATTATTATACAATTATTGGTGGCTGAACCATGTGGTTGCATCTCAGACAAGTCATCCCATTGTGTTTGCTATCCAGGTTTTTAGAAAAACTTGCTCTCATCATAAGGAAGTATTCATACACATAAATGGACACACGCAGGCACACCTTAATTTCAGATTTTCTATCACTAGCATTAACATTGAAGCCATACTGAACCTTCAAAGAGCATTTCCTATTTACCCTTGATGCCCTAGGCAGAAATATGTGTGGTGCTTCAGTCTTTCTGAAAGAATTGAACTTACTATGCCTGGTTGAAAATAACATGCACATTCATTATAAGCTCACAGCCTAGCATGATCATATCCAGAAATCCTAACAGTCGGACAGTGCATGCTAAAGCCTCTATGGGTGATTTACTCCTCCTTTTTAATCAGTTATCCTTGAGGTGGCATGACCTTTATTCTGCTTGTAAAAAAAACATTCCTTCTGATATTCTGCTATGTGGTCCTCAGTCTACAACAGCGCAAATTACATATTCTTGATCATCTAACATTGTCATCCCTGAATTTTCAAAGACTAGGTTTTGATTAAGATATGGTTCCAGATAACTAAGAAAGAGGGATGTGGAGTTTTTTCTTGTGGATGGGCCCCTGTCAAAATTATATTACCAACACTATCAACATCTGTGTATGTATGACTGCTACTGGACAGTATTCCAACATCATGATATTTTATGCAATGAAGGCATCACTGACAATTTATTTGATCATGTTGTACAGATAGCTTTTGTAGGAGCAGCCTCTGTCCTTCATGCCTAAAAAGCACTAGCATGTCCACAGACAAAAGTGCACTGTACATAAAGAAAAAAATGTGTATCTTTAAACACAGACTGCTGCTTTGTATTGTTGTGATGGACACTCAGAAAAATTGGTCACCAATTAAGCTAAACTATTACACTAGTGTTTGCCAATAGATCAGCATACAGCCTTATGTTATGACACTGATTTATACCAAGGGTTTTGATGAACCCCATACTATATTTCTGAGAAAACAGTTCACTTAGTATCAAAGCGGTGTTAGGTCCAGTTGACAATTATCCTTCTGCTTTAATGATAATAGTCTGTTAATTGTACTGGCTTGCCTACAGTCGGTTGTCGAAAACAGTGTGCAAGGATTGGCATAGAGCAGCACACAAAAGCTGTGTGGAAAACAGAATTGTAATTTATGAGCTTAGACAAAGTAAAGTCGATCAAAAATGAAGCTTAAAACAAATGGCATCCTGCTTCAAAAGTTATTTTCTAGAAGAGGACATTTAAATCAGTTCTGCTGCTTGTGTACTTGTGTGCATGTATCTCCATCAGCATGCCAGTTTATAGTTGCCCAGATTGGAAAGCATCTTGAATGGCTATGTCTGTATCACTTCTGTCAATCAGTATCTTAAAACAGGGATTGAAGAAATTTGAGTAATTGCTTATGCAACAAACAAACCAAAAATGCATGAGTCCTTTTCTATACACAGAACTGAATTGCAGTTTGGGTCATTTAAAAACTGTCAAATGTCTAAAAAAATATTTACCGTACTTTTGCATCTGGTGCTAGGGAGTTAGTTTTGATAGCAACCTATGTAACTCATGAGGTTTTTGGGTTTATATGATTTAAGTCTTCACAGGTTGATGGTTCCCCAAGAATGCGCTCAGTCCCTGCTTGGCTCTACTGCTTTGAAAGTGGAATAGAGGTTTTTCAGACAGGTGATACAGCTGGACCTTGAGGATTTCCAGGTTCATTTGAGAGCTCAATAAAGAGGCACTTCCAAGACATCCAGGATTTTCAGTCAAATCACCAGTAAAGGCTGTTCTAGTAGATCTAGACTGTGTGATTACCCAAAAAGATTTGTTTGATTTGGAAAGAATAGATTTGATCAGAAAAATGCTTTCCAAATTCCCAAGGAGTCTTGAGACCCATGGCATGGTTCCCTAGTACCACCAGCTGCTGCAAGAGGTGATCTCTGGTATCAAAGCCACATTTTGCAATCTAATTTGCTATTTCCAGGTATATACATTTACAATACATTTACTCCTTTCCCTTGGTTTTATCAAGGCTTTGTCTCCAGGTTGATCCTCTTAGTATGTCCTTCACTTTATGCAGATATCTCACTATTGTCCATGGTCTCTATACATAATATGTGATTTATTCAGATCAGTAAGTGATGGCTTTGCTTAGGGAGGTCAACCTCTAGGTGAGGATTTATCATTCCTTAGTACCAGTTGGCCATTATTCTCATCCTGGTTGATTATGTTATTAGCTAGACAGCAGCAACAGATGCTATTCCTCACATTGCTTAGTCTTAATGAATTTTGCGAGGGTGCAAAGCCATGAACTGCCAGGTTTGCCCTCTTCCAGGAGCTGCTGAGATAGGAAAGAACTGACCAATGCAGAACAAAGTTTCCTAGTGTTTCCTTTGCTCATAATTAGAATGTCAAATTCCTTGCCACGCCTGGGAAGCCACTTGGCTCTCAGCACCAAAAAAGCAGCAGCTGCAGCAATGCTCTGTGGATAGAGGACAGTAAATAAAGTGGTTTTATTTTTTTATATCCTCTCCAATTTTTGAATCAGAAGACAAGTCCTCTTTTATTTTCTTTTATCCTACTTGGTAGATCCCCTTCTCCCCATTGTACTACAGGCAGCTAGCTAAACAGAATACAACTACTGCCAGCGTTTTGTTCCTCATGTGCTTGCTTTCTTCTTTTTTCTGTTTAGCAGCTAATTTTATGAGTAGTCCCAGTTTCCTGTTTTTAATTGCATAGGGTACTCAGAGTGGAACCCTTGGGCACAATATTGATAAGTTTTTGATGCTGACCCTAAAAAATATCCAGCACATACTGCTGTTAACATGTTAGCCCCTATTAGAGCCAGTTGCTTCCTAAGATGTTCAGCAACTGCAAGACCATTCATGATCAGTGGAGTCTCTTGGTGGTGCTCCACATTCCCTTTGGGGTCTCAGCTGCTGTTTCTAAAGACAGAAATGCAGAATTTCAGCTTCCAAGTCTTTCTAGTCCGTAGCCCCTTTGCCAATACTTGTACACAAGACTAAAGACATCATCTGTGCATGCTTTCATTCCGGAATAAAGGGCTGTTCAGTTTGTACGTGAAGCGAGTTTACAGATCACATAC